CCACCAATCTCGAGGGACACCAGTCTCCCCGACATTCCCTCGGACGCCTGCTACATCGCCTCGAAGTGCTGCAACCTCAGTATGAAGGTCTCCTATATCTCGTCGCAACACTCCAATCTCATCTCGCAAAGCTACTACATCTGTCGTAAAATCTTGTCGCAACACCCCTATCTCCTCTCATACTGCGACGATCTCTGTCGTAAAATCCCGTCGCAACACCCCTATTGTGAGTTCGCGATCACTGGAATGTACATATGTGTACAATCCGTCCACGACTTTCCGCACCTCAACTGTAGTCCAATCACCCACGCCAGCATGTACTCGGACAGAACATAATCATTCCCCTTGCTTAGGAGCTCGTGATGCTCAATATCTACGACACGAACGAACTCAGAGCTCAGGATAACTCGACTAGGACTGTCATGAGATCTCGGGTATCTCCGCGCCCGATCGCGTAACAATTCCATAGCCAAGTCGATATGCTGAAACAAAAAAACACCAACAAAAAAGATAGAGTCATTTAAGTAAATGAACCAACAACTTCTATAAATATAATAAACGGAAACTCAAAAAACTTACATCATCAGCGAGCCAAGCTGAGGTCGTCAGTACATCTTCAAACCACTTTTTAGCATTGGGCACGATCATACAGCCGATGGTATAACTATCTCTGAAAAATGAAAAAACAGTTACGAAAAATACAAAAAAATAGTAGCAAAATCATAAAATACTTACTCGGACTTAAGGGATTTGAACCAATCATCGAACGCCTTCTGTCTGACTGGGTCGACGACGCGAAAAAAATTGGGGAACGCCCCATCCACAAACCCCCTTCTCTTCGCCTCGGCCGTGTATGGAGAAACGATGTACTGTGACGGCAATCTTGATCTCTTACCGACCATCAGCTCTGGCGCGTCAGTTGCACGCTTCTTACCCTTCGGGACCTCCGTCGCCCCCTCCGACACGAATACTACCTCGTCATCCGTCATCTCTGGCGTCCTCTCGTCCTTCGCAACCTGATCATCCCCCTCTACTACCACCTCTGATGTCCCCTCCGCTACCTCCTCGACCACCCCCGTCCCTCCCTCCACCCCCTCTATCTCGGCCTCCTCTGAGACCTCCACCCGGGGCATCACGGCCTCCTCCGGCTCCTCCTGCCCGACCTCCACCCCCTCCTTCCCGGCCTCCGGCACCGAACAAAAAAACTCATCGATTCCTGCGGCCGTTGCCCACCAATCTCGAGGAACACCAGTCTCCCCGACATTCCCTCGGACGCCTGCTACATCGCCTCGAAGTGCTGCAACCTCAGTATGAAGGTCTCCTATATCTTGTCGCAACACTCCAATCTCATCTCGCAAAGCTACTACATCTGTCGTAAAATCTTGTCGCAACACCCCTATCTCCTCTCATACTGCGACGATCTCTGTCGTAAAATCCCGTCGCAACACCCCTACATAAATTGCAAATATATAATACTCACCTGAGGACCGTCGAGGATAACTGTCAAATCTTTAGCCGATGGCTTTTCACGTGCTCGCCAATGAAGCATTCATGGGCAGCTGGTCTCCCTTCTGATCGCCCATTTGTTACCCAAAGCAGGGATAGCCTCATATGCCCACAACTGCAACAATTACCAAATAAAGCTTTACATATACATTTAATAAAAAAGTTTAACACGCGTTACGTTACACTGAATATTTACCTGCAAAGCCATGCAAAAGCCATATACATCATATTTGCAATCGCCCCTCTCCGATTTCGGCATATTATGTACCCTTCTGAATACATAGAGAGTATCGGTGTAACATCTCCGACCCCATGGAAAGCTGTTGAAAGTATCGACATCATCAACAAAATCCAATGAAAAAAGATCGATCGACGTCCTACGATGTCGACACCTCAATATACTCTCCAGTATATACACCAATCCTAACTTCAACTTGTCTAATATGTGATCGCATCTCCTAAATGCGTTCTCTAACTGTGGTGGTGTAACTGGCCCTTTACCTCCAAAATATAAATCCAATAACCTTTTTATTTGGTATAATACGGGCTCTAGCTTCTTCTTCCCCGGTACATCTCAAGCCTGTAATCAGGGCAAATTCAAGGATCGAGAATCTCGATACCTTCCCGTCCCCCATAGCAAAATATAGTTGATCGCCATCGACTGGTTTAAGCAGCCGGAGTAATAAAGAATCAATAATCTGTCTAGAGAACTGCACGTCCTTCAACGGATAGAACGACCATAAAAAGGATCGATAGAGTAAGTCAATATGCTCCTCGTCCAGCCCCTCAAGCACTGTCGCATAGCTGGCAAAGTTACAATACGTCGTAATTTTTCCCAAATGAGCCCTCAGATCGTTGTCCATATGATATTCCATCCTATAAAATTAATACATGTTAAAACCATATAAAAGAAATTATAAATAAAATATCGTACCTTCAAATTTAACCAATCAAATTTCATATTAATAAACCAATAAATAAATTCATCCAATCACATATTAAAACAGTTAAACAAAAAAATTTCCACATATTTGACTATTTAATGTTTATTTAAAAATTATATTTCGTTAATTATCTGACTATATATATATATATATATATATTATTTACAAATTTATTAGATTTTTATTTTTACTATTTCTTTAATTAATTATCTTAATTGATGAAGTACAAAAAATATTATTCAATTTAATTTATTCTTTAAATATTTCGTTAGTCATGTATATTATTTATTTCATATTTAATTACTCTATTTCGATTATTTATTTGAATAATATTTATTCGATTTTTCCTTTTACTATTTCTTTAATTCATTATCTTAATTGGTGAAGTACAAAAAATATTATTCAATTTAATTTATTCTTTAAATATTTCATTAATTATGTATATTATTTATTTCATATTTAATTACTCTATTTCTATTATTTATTTGAATAATATTTATTCGATTTTTTCTTTTACTATTTTTTTAATTCATTATCTTAGTTCGGTAAGTAAAAAAAATATTGTTTTTTTAATTTATTCTTTAAATATTTCGTTAATTATGTATATTATTTATTTCGATTATTGATTTGAATAAAAATAATAATATTTATTCGATTTTTCGTTTCACTATTTCTTTAATTAATTATCTTAATTGGTTAGGTAAAAAAAATATTATTCTATTTAATTTATTCTTTAAATATTTAGTTAATCATGTGTTTTATTTATTTCATAATTTAATTACTCTATTTTGATTATTTATTTGAGTAATATTTATTCGATTTTTCCTTTTACTATTTCTTTAATTTATTATCTTAATTCGTTAAGTAAAAAAATTATTGTTTTTTAATTTATTCTTTAAATATTTCGTTAATTATGTATATTATTTATTTCGATTATTTATTTGAATAAAAATAATAATATTTATTCGATTTTTCGTTTCACTATTTCTTTAATTAATTATCTTAATTGGTTAGGTAAAAAAAATATTATTCAATTTATTTTATTCTTTAAATATTTCGTTAATCATGTGCTTTATTTATTTCATATTTAATTACTCTATTTTGATTATTTATTTGAATAATATTTATTCGATTTTTCCTTTTACTATTTCTTTAATTCATTAGCTTAATTCGTTAAGTAAAAAAAATTTTGTTTTTTATTTTATTCTTTAAATATTTCGTTAATTATGTATATTATTTATTTCATATTTAATTACTTCATTTCGATTATTTATTTGAATAAAAATAATAATACTTATTCGATTTTTTGTTTTACTATTTCTTTAATTAATTATCTTAATTGGTGAAGTACAAAAAATATTATTCAATTTAATTTATTCTTTAAATATTTCGTTAATTATGTGTATTATTTATTTCATATTTAATTACTCTATTTCGATTATTTATTTGAATAATATTTATTCAATTTTTTCTTTTACTATTTGTTTAATTCGTTATCTTAATTGGTGAAGTACAAAAAATATTATTCAATTTAATTTATTCTTTAAATATTTCGTTAATTATGTATATTATTTATTTCATATTTAATTACTCTATTTCGATTATTTATTTGAATAATATTTATTCGATTTTTTCTATTTTTTTAATTCATTAACTTAGTTCGTTAAGTAAAAAAAATATTATTTTTTAAAATTTATTCTTTAAATATTTCGTTAATTATGTATATTATTTATTTCGATTATTTATTTGAATAAAAATAATAATATTTATTCGATTTTTCGTTTCACTATTTCTTTAATTAATTATCTTAATTGATTAGGTAAAAAAAATATTATTCAATTTAATTTATTCTTTTAATATTTCATTAATCACGTGTTTTATTTATTTTATATTTAATTACTCTATTTCGATTATTTATTTGAATAATATTTATTTGATTTTTCCTTTTACTATTTGTTTAATTCATTATCTTAATTCGTTAAGTAAAAAAAATATTGTTTTTTAATTTATTCTTTCAATATTTCGTAAATTATGTATATTATTTATTTCATATGTAATTACTCTATTTCGATTATTTATTTGAAACGTATATTTAAGTAAAAAAGAAAAAAAATTAAAACTCAATTTAATTTATCTTTAAATATTTCGTTAATTCCCCTTAATATATTATTTATTTTATATTTTATTTTATTTCTTAACACAAAAATAAAACAATAATTCTAAAAAGAAAAAAAATTATTTTTGACCAAAATCCGGGTCTGGACCTGGACCAAAATTCGGGTCCGGGCCCGGACCATATGGTCTTGGTCCGGTGGTTCGTTATGGATCATCCGGTCTGGCCCCGTCGATGGAGCTCACGGACCAAACCGACGGAGCTCGCCGGAAACTCCATTTCCGGCGAGCTTCGTCCCTTTTTTCACTTTTTTTCAACATTTTAATCTCAAATTCGATATTTTCTTACATTTTAACCATAAAAACATGAATTTAACCCATATTTATATCCTAAACATTCAAACTTTCACAAATTTAAAGTAATTATTTATAGAAAACATGTCTAACATTCCAGAAAATGACGGTTTTCGGCAAATCGAGGTGGCTCTGGTCTTGGTCGAAGTTGGTGAGGTCCGGGCAGTCCGTAGGCGACGTCGAGCGGTCCGTAGCAGATTTTTTTTTTTTCTCTATTTTCTCCTCTTCTTTCCTAAATGAAGATATTTTCGACCCTACATATTTTGTTTATATTTTCCATTTTTTTTTTTTTTTTACTTTAACAAATAACTTTGTCAAAGCCTGTTATGGAAAACACACCGGGTGGGGCAGCCATTGCCCACCATTTCGTCGGGAAAAATTCCCCGCGGTTGTGTTATCAAATAGCATCAACAGCAATTAAGTTTCTTATTTCGGAGTGAATTTGGCTGAGGAGGAGAGGAATTGAAGTTGGGAAATTTCGTAGGGTTTGTTCGAGAAACTTCACTGGTTGGAGGTATTGAAACTGCAAAGGGACAGTGGGACACCCCTTGTCTGATCGTGAAGTTTGTTTTGTTTAGTGGCATCACATACTGTATGTGGGAATTTATGAACACTACTCACTCTTTCCTTGTCTGTTTAGATGGCTTGTGTGTGTGTGTGTGTGTGTGTGTGTACATATATATATATATATATATATAATCAGAAAATAATAGTGCTGGCATTTTTTTTGATACGTTGCTACTGTCTTTTGGGTTCATGTTCAGGTTTCTGTTTAGCATCGTTTAATAAAAGAAAGACATTGAAGTTTGATTTTTACCCTTTTCTTCATCTGTTGGGATGAGGTGCTTGAATCTTGAGCTGAAGTTGGGTCCCATCCTACTGCTTCTTATATGTGGTATGCTTTCCTAGATTATGTTGAAAATGGAATGTTGCCTCATTAAACTGATAGTCTGAACAGAGAGAGTCATCTTTACGTTTTTTTATATATGGCAACATATATTCATGATCATTCCACACGTTGTTCACTTGAAAATTTTCTTTCTTTGCATACAATTCATTGTTAAATACTATCAAAAGGATGATGATTTTTTTGCCGTTAATTGAAATATGATTAATTTCTTTTCTTTTTTATTTTTTCTTTTCATTGTGCCTTAAATCTTTTTAATAACGGCGCAATTGGAAGGTTTATGCTATGAAGGGAGGAAGAATCAGATATTCTGAATATACAAGTTACCTTTTTTGGGCACTTTTGCTTGTTTTATTTTGTGATACTGAGTAGGATATTAAATTTGAGCTACATACGTAAATAAGTAGTGAATTGCTTAGAAACTGGGGTTAAGATCTTCATATAACTGAGAGTCGTGTGTGTACACGTCTGAGGCTCTGAGTGTGGGCATTTACACGAGGCCAAAATTAGTGTTTTTTTTTAATTATTCCAATTGTAGTTGGTCATATCAATTTCTTCTTCCAGCTACTATCACAACTAGGGCATCTGCTACTGAAGATGGTTATAAGAAGTGTGAACATACTGTCAAGAACTGGGCATTCTCTTCCCGTGATTCTGAAATTAAAGATGACAAATGCATACTGCGGGACTTGCTTTTTTTCCTTCATGTTCCTAGGACAGGAGGGCGAACATATTTCCATTGGTAACTTATTTGTGCTACTAATAGATTCTATGCCACTTCACGCCACTCTTGCAAAAGGAAAGATGAAGGGAAAATGTCACAAAAGTATTCTACCCTATTTTTTTGTTAAACAACAAATACAAAGGGTGTATGCTTATATTCAGATTTCCCATATGCAGTTTCTTGAAGAAGCTATATGCAAATGCCCAAGAATGTCCACGCTCTTATGATAAGTTAAGGTTTGATCCAAGGTAACATTTTCAATTTTCCTTCCATTTTGCATGCTGAAATTCATTGCTAATGCTTGAGAACAGCTTGATGAGGTGAATATATCTAGTAATTACACTTGATAGTTGACACAAGCGAACAAATTCTACATTATGACATGAGAATATCTTTCAATAACAATATGAGGCCAACTTTGCATTTGTCACAAATGCGTTTGAACTTGGGTATTCACTGCTGAGTGCTGAGAGTTCAGTTGTTGCCCATGACAAGCTCTAAACCTGGCACTAGATAGTTATTGTGAATACAAAAGAATAAATTTTATCTACCTTGATAGGATGGTGCCTGAGTTATTAGTATATATGCTTATGATAAAAGAGTTAGGGTTTGACGACTTGTTTAGGAATTACATACCTGTAGCTGATTTGATGAGGAAATTCAGTAATTGATGGAATTGTTCTTATTGGAACTTTGGGCTATGTATGTAAATTCTGAAACAGTTAACTGATTGAATGAATAACTTTCACTTGATTATTATAGCTGTCGTCTTATAGGATATGTTGACCTCTATTTATTGTTTCTAGCCTTTAGGAAGATATAACTAATCTTTGCTGATTTGCTTTGTTTATACATAACTATCAAGACTCACCATATATAGGCACAATGGAAAGATGATGCTACCTACTGTTTCCTTTGCAATATCTCATACATCATAAGAAAAGCCCTTTTTTTTCTGTCAAGATGTCTAAGCTATATATTTTGTTTCAATGAGCAGAGAATCAAACTGCCGGTTATTAAGTACACATGACGACTATAGCATGATATTTAAACTTCCCAAGGAGCAAACCTCAGTGGTTACAATACTTAGAAACCCTATTGAACGAGTCTTTAGCACTTACGAATTTTCGGTGGAGGTAGCAGCTAGGTTTTTGGTATTCCGTAACTTCACATCTTTATCAAGAATGGCGAAACGTGCACGTCTGAAGGCAGGTGGGGTAAGCACACTGGACATCTGGCCATGGAAATATTTGGTCCCTTGGATGAGAGAAGATCTATTTGCCCGAGTACGTTTTGCAATTAGTTTTGGAAACTTACTTTATGGGATTTTCCTCTTTCATCCTTTCACGATAATTCTTTAAGGGTTTTTGTGCATTTTTCTCTGCCAATGCTCAATGAAGTACAGTGCATGTTGTTGTGGTTGGAGCAAAATCATAATATTAGGACTACAATGTCTATATTCTGACAACTTAGCAGTTGTATCGCACCTTAACCTTGTTGATTTTTCTCAAACCAACTAATTGAAGTTATGTAAATGTTCCTTCTTAAATTAATATTACTCTGTTATTTCTTGCCATGAAACACTTATTTTTATTGAATGCCTGTCCTTTCGGTGGCATGCCCTATCCATCTTAGCTATGACTAAATATTTGCACATTGTACATTCTTAAATTTACAATCAAAATTTTTAAGATGTAGAAGCGGCAGATATGGCTAATTTCTTTGAGGTGTCGTGGTCTTTAGAAATGGGATAAGCTTTCAGATCAGCTGCATTCTTGTTAGCAACTTCTCTTTGTTGATTCCATTCCATATTTATATTCCAAGTCGAATCTCTGAATATATATCCATTGACTAACCTGACTCTTGAAAAGATTTTTTTGCAAAGAGATATTAAATTTTTTAAATTAATTTACAAACTGTAGCTGAATCAATTTTAATACACTAATTGGACAGTGAAGGTTCTGGACAAAATTGAGAGTAAAAACACAAAATGTAGGATATTTTCTAGGTTCTATGTATCTCATCATGCTCATTGTAATGTTTGGAAATCTTTAGACGACTTCATTCAAAAGATTGCAATCAGGTTCCCCACTCACTTTATCTGTTATACAATGGTTAACAGTAATTTCTGACCTAAGCGTCTGTCATGATTCTATTATCTGTTTAAGTCAGCGGTGAATCATATGATGTCGCAATTTGCAGGTGAAACAAATGTCTTGAATTACAAACATTCTTTTGCAGAACAAATTTCTAAAACTTTGATTTGATGATTTCATCCTCCTATTCTGGATTAATGGCACCGTTTGAATGCTATTTTGTTATCGCTTTTCATTGATGTCATATTTTAACGTCTTATTTTATATTTATATGGCAGAGGGATGCTAGAATTAGCAAAGGCCAATCTTATATCCTAAGTAATGACTCATATGATATGGAAGAAATTTTGATGCCCCTACGTGATTACATTAATGATCCTATTGCTCGAGACATCATCCACAATGGGGCCACCTTCCAGGTCCTGTAATCTACTGCTCCTTAGGTCTTATTGCTTGTTTGGTAGTGCTGTTAAGTGCTTATAATCAATGGATTTTACATAATGTGTGGATAATAAGTGTATAGTAAGTTGTGGGTCCTACGATATATGTTGATAAAAAAATATGTTTTTCAGCTTAAATTATAATCTAAGCTTTGCCAAACATGTTAGTCTTTATGTGGTCATTTCTTTTATATTCTCGAAGGTGGGATTTAGGAATTGAACCATTTAGGCAGAAAGGCCATAACAATATTGTTACACTTTAAATTTGGGGACACAATCTTAAATATTTGACCAGTCATGAAAATTGTGCAGCACTTGCACATTATGTGATATACACAAAAATAGCTGGCTTGAATGGAAGTTATGAGCTTTGAGGATGTATGAAAAATGTTATGCAGTTTTACTTTGTATCAGCATAGAAGTAGTTAGTGCCTCATTGTCCAATATTTATTTGTAAATTTGGCCACTGAGAGATGGATGTGCTGGATGCAAAGAGAATAGCAAGTGGAGTTATGTAGATGATATATGTTGACCGACGTGTGATTTGTGATATTTTCTGACCTTGTGTCTCTCCTTTAGACTTCAAAAGTATTCACTTTACTGATTTATTTTTTGATTCATAGATTGCAGGACTTACAAACAACTCTTATTTAGCCGAATCACATGCAGTGCGCCATTGTGTACTAAAGTATCAGGGTCTTGGTCATTATGTGCTTGAAGTTGTGAAGGTGATGATAAAAGGTTTCCACAATCATGCATAACGTGGAATATTAATGTTTATCTTCTTGATTAGTTTCTTTATTCTATGGTTTGAATCGTAGTAGATCATTGTAAATCTTGCAGAAGAGATTGGATCATATGTTGTATGTCGGACTTACTGAGAAACACAGAGAGTCAGCTTCTATGTTCGCAAGTTTAGTTGGTGCACAGGTGGTAGCTCAGTTGACAAAATCAAGCTCCAGTTCTGATTCTGCCATTAATAATGGTTCAGGTTAGTAATCAGAACTAACTGGTCCAGATAACTTGTCAATTATGTCTTTGTTGCAACAAATAAAAATCAAAGATATTGAGCTTGAAAAGGAATTTTTAAGTCTTGCATGTTATATAGCTTCAGGCTTCCATGTTAGCAATTTCTTGTTTGCTCGACACCAAAACAATGGGTGGGTTGTCTTCACTCCTAATTTTAAAGACATCATTTTATCTTAAAGCAGGTTGATTTCTGAATGGGCCCCAATTGAGAAAAAGGGTTATATCAGAATTGTCTTCTGCCTAACCAAGCTGGATTTAGATTCCAGTTCAATGCACGTGATAAATGTTTTCATTGAAGTGATTGTCCTTCGACAATGTGTTTGATAAATGTTATGAAATTTGAGTTGGCCTACGTGATAGTGGTTTTCCTTAAATAATGTTCTACTTCTGCTACAGAACACAGATCCTTGCTTCCGAATTCCAAGTCTGATGCAAATCAAGTAAGGAGTGACTGCAATTTTGCTTCTAACAATCTTTTGAGATTAAAATTCAGGGACTGTAATATATCATTTTGCCAAATTACAGGAAAACAACACTTACACAAAGCTAAAGAAAGTATCATCAGCTAGCAAGGACGAAGCAGCAAACAGTAATGTACACCCCCAGCAACGGCTTGTATTTCTTCGTGTTAATCTTCCCCTTTCTTTTCTTTTCGTTTCTTTTATTTTCTTTTGAGCAGGCTAAGTTCTCCCTGCCACTGTAACAGATGGAGGTTGGAAAACTTCTGGAAGCATACGAGTCCTGTATTTCAAGCTTACGAAACTCCCAATCAGATCGACGTGCAAAATCCTTGAAAAGAATTTCTCCTGCAAACTTTACAAAAGAGGTATGATAGCTTAAATTGGTCTGTCATGCAGGAGTTCTATTTTTCTGACTGCCTAGTAACTTTTTTTATATTATGTACTCTTCCCATCCTTGCCATTGATCGCATTAGCTTAACAATTTTTAGGCTCGTCGTAAGGTACCTGAACTGCTACTTCAGGAAATTACATCACTGAACAGCCTAGATACGCAGCTGTACAATTATGCTCGGGACATCTTTGCAAAGCAACAGGCACTTGTGATGCAAAATATGGTTCAGGCAGTAAGTTTCATTTCTTTTTTCCTCATGTGCCTTTTGGGCTTTGCATTGCTTCTATACTGCTAAAAAGAGAGATTTTGAGTGCAGTTACGATAGTTTATGCATCAACATTGGAAAGAGGTGAAATTTTAGGATGATCGGGTAAACTTTTGGGCAGATTACACGTGCCAAGTTAAAAAAACATTCGTGTTATCTATTATCTGCTGAGAGCTATATTTCATGTAGCTGGCTTTTCTTGAGTTAGAAGGGTAAGGATGAAAATTTATCTTATTTATAATTGAGGGCATTTTATATAGATCAAATACGACAAAAAAAAATGTCACCCCTACATCCAACCTTTCTACATCTATCTCATGCACCCGCGACTGGATATAAGGAGCTTGGGATGGTATATTTTCATTCTCTCTACTAGTGTCATTTTACTCAAAACTTTTTTCAAATTCATTCTTAGTTTGTCATTGTTTGAGACTCAACAGTCTGGCTGCCAATCGAGTGTACATTTTTTTCTTGATTCCATAACAGGGGTTGGCTTACTAGATAATATTATATAATGACTTGTATTGTCATCCAATTTTTTGATGCACGTAGTATTACATATCAACTGCCTATGACGAAGAGAACTTCTTGATTATTCGTCTGCAATTGATTGTTCAATCGTAGGCTTTTCTAGAATCCAGAGAGTATCTATCTTTCACGTCTCCTTGGCTGTCATATATTTCATGCATCTAATTCTATTTGTTATTCTATTGATTCTACGCTTTCATTTACAAAGTGGAGAGGTATAATATTGCTCGATTATACGACAGAATTTCGATTTTTTTTTCCTCACAACTAATGTGTATCTTATTCTATGCAGAAGAACCTGCCAAGTACAGTAGACGAGCATGCATACCTCTCCTCAGGGAAAGTCCTTTTCTTGGTCATAGCCTGTCTCTTGGTTCTTTTCTTCGTGTTTCATTTTGTAAATGCAAGGAGAAGGACTTCGAAAGTTAAATTGTAATTTTAGTCCGAATGAAGTAGAAAGATGAAAGAACCTCGTTGAATATGAATTTCAGTAGAAAATAATAGTTATTCCTTGGATATACAAAATGTCAAAATCCCTAACATTTTGCATTCTGGGAAATAAAATAAAAATTGAAGGGACTCAATTCTTCATTTTTGAAGGATATTTGCAAAAGGATATGGAGATTTTTTATTTATTTTTATTTTTTGGTAATTTTTCTACTAGCTTAGCAAGCAAATGACAATTCAAAATTGAACCAAAAAAAGAAAATTATAATCGACGGTTTTTTTGAACCAAGAAAATNACTAGCTTAGCAAGCAAATGACAATTCAAAATTGAACCAAAAAAAGAAAATTATAATCGACGGTTTTTTTGAACCAAGAAAATCAAAGTAAACAACATGAAATATATCAATATAACACGATTTTTCCTACATAATGAAAAAATATATATTTAAAACATATTTTCTACATTACAAAAATAAAAACTTTCGTTATTATAACAGCAATAATATATGATATCCTGATTATGAAATTGATGTTATTTATCGAGTTTTATTGGTAGTCATCATGAAATTCAAACCCACAAATCTTGATCGTTCATTCCCATCACATCAACATATTATTAGTCCATCCATGCCAGTCAAAATGCTATGAGCATCACTAGGTGGACTTTACATGTTCATAAATCATTGCCTTGATAGAAATTATAATTTAGATTTTTATCGGTCAGAGTTAATAATTAATTTCAATCACATATTTCACATGATCTATAACTTTCAACTATACATTTTATAAATTTTTTATCAAAATTTACTAAAAATTTGATTTTAATTTCCATCAAAAACAGTATTTGAACCAAATGGCCCCACCATCACTCCGACCCCACCCTCCAAAATCGAAAATCACATTACACCACTCCAACTTCACTTACAATGCACCTCCACCACACCCAAAAAATGCCAGTAAACAAGCCCTAAAAATTTTACAGTCTTCCATGATTTTCCTTCATTTTTAAGTTATGTATTGGACTTTCTCGTTTACCCAAAGTCCAGTGAGTACAATCCAGACAAAGCCACATTCATAAGGTAAAACAAATGACGTTCCCCAATGCCCCTATCTTCTTTCCCCATCTTTTTTTTCCTGCTAAAAAGCTTAGCTCTTTCCTTTTTTTCTCTATGCAGAAGCTCCTCCATGCCCTAATGTCTTAAAAAGGGTATAGGGTTTATGTTCTGGTAAGTACTGAAAAGTACACTTCCATTATCATGCATTTTCTTACCCATTTCTTCGTACCCTTTTCTGAGTTTTTACTCTTTTTTACTGCAAAAGTTCACTCTTTCCCCCCCTTTTACATTTCCTTTTTCTGCATGCATTTTCCTTCCAAAAATGTGGTCTCCAAACAGTGCATTTTCACCCTTTTTTTCTTGAGGGACGTACAGGATATTTTTGATGATAATGCTTTTTTCTTCTTATTCTTGTTTGCATTTTCTCAGCAGCCGACAGAACCGCTGGTTTTTTATTCTTATGAGGGGTGAGGTTTGAATTGAAATTGAAAGGGAAATAGAAGTTTAGAAATAAACTTCTATACGATGTCGTATCATAGAAGAAAAAAGAAACGGACTTTTCCCTCATTTTTTTAATTAAAACACGTGCTTTTTTATCTTACATTTCCTGGTTTAGAATTTACCATTTCCATTTTCCACCAAAAAATTGATGGGTTTGGGATGTTTTTTTTAGTTGTAGTACCCATTTTCCAATTAACTCTATATTTTTTATATGCCATTTTCTTGTATTATAATGATTTGGCTACTACTAATTTGACAACTGCTTAATTAGTAACTACTGAAATACTAATTAGAATATAAATTTAGTAATATTCCAAGAGGGGAAGAAATCATAAATAAAACAGATGATTCTGAGAATCTTAAATCATAGGATTCCTATTTTTTTATTGTCTTTAAATGGTACCAAGATTTTCAAGAAAATTGGTAACTTTGTAACTTCTCTCAAAATCATTCCATTACATAAGATTCTCTTAGCCCATATGATAATGTTGCAAATGCTTGTTTACTAATCCAATCTATCAGAAAAAAATCAGTTTATTTGTTTTCCTAAAGCTTTTGATAAGAACCTTAACCAATAAAATCATCCTCTTTGTTATATTATTAATAAATATAATATTCTTTTTCTTGGCCCTTGACATGGCTTGCTTTTGCTAGATTGCGTTACAGCGTATGTCTTTTTTTATATTGTTCAGAATATGAATATGGTTGAACCTAATAGCTGTTGGGATGGGATTGTTAATGAGACCATGCCCGATGAAGAGTTTGAGAGCATATTCAGTCTTTTGGATTTTCCCATGGAGAGTTTGGAAGGAGATGAACTGATTGGAGACTGGGACGTGAGTAAGTCACAATGCCTAGGGCCTATTCCGACAGACACATTAATGAAGTTGCCACCGAATCCACGGGGCAAAATTGGCACTGTGTTACCACAATCCCTGCCTAAATCGGTTGCTCCGGTGAGTTTAACATGCCAAGTTCTGTGAAATTAATAGATAGTATTATATATGCTGCAATTGAATCTTTTTTCAAAACTTTCTGGATCCGGATTTTTTCTCTTTAAATATTATTCTCGCCTTTTTTGTAGAATGAGGATTCATGTAGTGTGTGTTTGAGCCCCTTTAATTTTGAAAAATGTATTATGTATTAGTAGATTGATGGAGAATGTGTAGTTAAAAAAGAAGGAAATTTTTTTGATTTGCGTGTAATATTATTTTAATGAAATCTATTGTTGAAAATGAGTATTATAGAAAAAATAATGTGATAGAATATAAAATAATGAGTACAAACAGGGGCTAAAACTGAGATGCAATGATAAAAGACGAATAATCTTTTTCCTCTTGAATGGCTTGTGATGTGTCGAACTCAAAATCCCCACCAGCTGTCGCTAAAATGATCTTGAATTGAGTTTCTCATAGCTAATGCCTATCTGTGGGCTTACTACAAGCATTTGGGCCTCTTGCCCTTAGAAGCCAGTTTGAAGGCAAGTTGATGTGCTTGTAACTTTGGTTTGTGTAGGCACCTACTGGGAATGACCAACCCTTGTTTCGAATGGGGCAACCTAAGCATGTTGCTTCCAGTTGATGGTCGGTCAATGAAATCACCTAGCTGAGTGTGAGAGATGCCACAGACATGGGTTCTTAAAATGAGTGTTGGGTTTTGTAACGAGTCTAATTGAGTACATTGCTGTTTCCCAAGTAAAGATTGGTTAGTGGGCTTATAAACACTTGGACAGCCTTCTCATGCAAGTTAAGTTCTACCAAATCTCGGATGAAATTTGTTGCTGTCGTGGTGACCCATGGACAACTGCTACCATCAAAGACTGGGTACATGCAGCCGCTGAGCTCTGAAGGGGTTCCCATGGATGTTAATTTTTACTAGCAGTGCATTGTAACAGTCTGTTTTAATTCTCACATTGCTAAGGCTTGGCTGTGACTTATAAGGACTCGGGCATATCCTTCCTAGAAGCTTGTTTTGAGATCATTCTACTCAATGTGCTGTAAGAAGAAATTAAGAACTTGAATGTCTTTGAATAAATCAAAAAAGTGACCTTATTATTCAATTAGTAGGCTTGAATTACAAGTAACACCAGCAATATTTTTAAAACCCATGGACATTAAAGTTTAGGATTATCTGACTACAATTGTGGAAGTAATGAGGTCATTGCAATATTACCAAGTATTCTTCGAGGATGATGAAAAATATATCCTGCCTCCCATATACCTTCTAATTTTAACTCTATGGACTTAGTTTTTCTATAAAGTGAAACTACGAGACTTTGTCGGTGTTGTGCTCTGTTCCTTATGAAGCTTCACGTTTCGTTTATAAAATTCTGAATTCATGAAGTTCGATGTAACTTGCTAAGCTTTCTAGTTTAAAATACATTTTGCACATGGAAGCCCGGTGTTCAATGTGGGTAAAAGTTGATACATGCTGCGCATGTTCACTAAATGAATATGTGAGCTCAAATTATATCCGTGTCTGTTGAGGTCCAGCAGGTCATTCTGGAGTCTACTGTTGCATCACTCGTCTTGATTTCACTGGGTGACATTTTTTGAATACAACACAGAAAATCTTTTCAATTCTGACTGAATATTTGTGGCGATCCTCAGATGAAACCCTCCTTCGGGGAAAATAGGATTATGACCGACTGCTGAAGTGGTCATTATTTAAACCGAAGGTGGTATTTAACATGATATCATCTGCATCTCTTGCTGACTTATCACTTTCTTGGGCTGCTGTGATGGTATTGTTGTTTAGTTGGTGACATTGATACCACTATATTAAATATCTGCGTTGTATGCATGCCTTGTTCAAATTTTTTTATCGTGTGGAACTTAACGTGGCTAGATTGTGGAATCACATAGCTGTATCATCATTTTTTTATGCATTATATCTGCCATTAATGCCATTATTTCTGCTCTGATCTTTGTTTGATTGCTTTACTATAAAGATTGATGAAATTCATGAGCAAAAGCAGCTTCTAGAAGAAACCCCCAGCTCAGTTATTCTTCGCCAGCATAAATTTACCGAGGGCCAAGAGTATGGTGTTTTCCAGACGCAAAGCCCTGTTTCTGTGCTGGAAAGCTGCAGATACTGCTCTGTTGGAAAGTGTGCGCCGATCAAATCTAAGCGAGTTAAATTTCTCCCATGGCTTTCAGCTGGCATTGTCATTCCCGTTCAAGGCAGATCAAAGCGAGTTAGATCCTCGACTGTAAACCCATGGCTTTTGATTTCTCCTATATCTTCTGCCTCTTCTACCTCTAAGAAGACTTCAAATTTTAGGAAGAACAAAGATAAGAGGAAGAAATTGTCCCAGCTTTCAGTTTCCAACGAAACCATGGACTATCCTTCTCAGAAGGTTAAAGCTTCATCAATGGTATCAAATTCTGTAGAGCCACAAAATACTTCCTTACAGAGAGTTACAGCATCAAAGAAATGCACACATTGTGAAGTGACAAAGACACCACAATGGAGAGAGGGACCATTAGGGCCAAAGACTCTCTGCAATGCATGTGGCGTTCGATACAGGTCTGGACGCCTATTTCCAGAATATCGTCCAGCAGCCAGTCCTACATTTGTTCCATCTCAGCACTCCAACTCCCACAAGAAGGTTACAGAGATGAGAAACAAAGGTAAACAGCATGCAGATAAGGTCGAGGAGCCCCTAATTTCTCCACTTTCTGGTTTTGCTCCCATGGGAAGCTATTTGTTCGATTTTATATGCTGAAATAAACGGCGTTGAAGTTCTAGTTTTCGGGCCGATTCAGTTCTAAATTTTTTTCAGAATGCTTGTTTGTTGTTCTTCTTTCCTATATGCATGGAGGCATGTTTGCTGGATGGTGACTTTGTAGTAGAGTTGTGTACAAAGATGAAATGGAATCTTAATTAGTATGGACTATGGACGGAAGAGTTTGGATGTGCTATAAAGTTACTTTGAAAAGTCAAATATTAATTTTAATCAAATATCGAGTACGATTCATAAGTACTAATCACTTTCATTACTTATGTTTACTAACTTATAATTTTATCAACTAAAATGAAAATCCAAACAATGGTAATTTATGTTTGGAACAATATTTTTTTTAATAAAGTTAAGTTTGATTTACTTTTAGCAAGTTGCTCTAAGTTTTCGTAATCTTGATACATATTAGAAAACTCATGATTTTTTAGGGGAAAAAACTCTATTAATTGATAAGATGAGATAAATTTTAGAGTATGGACCCTCAATTCACACATTGAACATCTTGGGTCAAAGCGAGCTCCTTTGTTTTGAAATTTATTAATTCAGAATGAATTAGATCTTTTCGAAACTATGATCAATCGATCAAAGTAAATAACACATATCTCCCCTCAAGTTTAATAAATTAAAGATAATATTGAGGTTGTTTTGAGCAACATATTCTTGCTTCTACCATTTTTTTATTTTTTATTTTTTATTTTTTTACGCTTTTTCCTTTTGATTTTTTTTTTTTTTAAATTCTCCTTGCCACTTATCTACTTAATTCTATTTTAAAGCTTTTCTAATTATCTTTCATGCTTAATTTATGTCTTAAACTTTAGCTTACACTTTTGGTATAATGAATAGACAACGATATTGACATTTATTCTCTAAGTTTTAATGTGTCCCGTTGGTAAAAATTAAAATTAAAATTTTAATTTAAGTCAAAATCAACAATTAATTTTAATAGCGTATTTTATGAGTTTCATAATTTTTCAATCACACATTTTATCAATTTTTATCAAAATCAGCTAAAATTTTAATTTTAATCTCAATCAAACAAACATAAGCATATCGATTTAATTGATCCAAATTGAAATATAGTAATTTCATTAAAGATTAAATCAAAGTAAAATGACACTAAATAAAATTATCCTTTATCATCAATGCAAAAAGTGGTACAACCTACAGACAACTGGGTGGATGTGAGTGTCATCAAGTAGTAGAAGAACGTTGCTTGTCGCATGATTATTGTCCGATGGAGAGTACATTTTGCATGTCTTGTCTTGCCTTTTGGACCTCATTATTTTAATTTTAATTTTATTTCTATTATCCTTCGTAATTGCACGTTGGCAATTGCCAAATTAGTCGAGTTGCCCTTCTGATTAATTGACTTGAATGAGTCTATTTAGATAATTCAATAAGACAAAATTATTAGATTCGTTAACTGAGCGTTTTTGTCCGCATTATTAGTGATGTTCTATCGACTTCACCGATCAAATTAGTAATTGGTTACAATAAAAACCTGGAAAAGTTCTAGAAAGATGAGAGATTTTTCTTGTTTTATAGAGTATAAACATCTTGATATGTCTAAATGAAGAGACAATGATGAATTTGAAGAATTAGCCATGTTTGAGCGCTATAATTTGAAAATACATTTTTCATAAACTTATTTTCAATTACACATTCGTCCAATAAAATCATATATATGTAAACCCGAAATTTTCTACTTTTTAACAACACAATATTCAAAATATCACTATTACAAAATTTATTATTTGTTAAAAATGGGGCTCAAATGGAGGCTTAGCAACATATCTTATCACATGAAACAAAAATTTGCCTTGAGGTGCAAACTTTGTCGAGATTTTAGTGGGTGACAAAATACTTTCATAGTTTTCGTGTTCAATGTTGCGTTACTACTATATGTTCCTTGTAGAAATTATCTGCATACCTTGTTTGTTTGACATTATTATGTAGCTTGTCATGTGTAAGCACCAATTGAGAATCATTTTTTTAGATAATCTCTGCAATTATGAGTGTCGTGTCATATTATTAATTGATAATCGATTAGTCATGTTAAGTCGAACGATCATGTCGCGTTGAACACAAGCACTAATATAACCATTAGTTACCAATTAGTCTACAAAGTCTTTAATACAAGTCTCATTCAGCCTCTTAAATGTTGTCATATGAATGGAATGACATTTTTCTTTTGTCAAATGCTAATAAATGATGGCAAATATATCAACTAGTAGTCGATATATACTTAATCCATAAACGTGAGGGGATTATAAAAATAAAAATACTTAATACTTTTGAATCATTGCTCTACAACCATTAGCATGTGTGAGCACACATTTTTTTTTTCCTTTTTTTTTTTTTTTTTTTTTTTTTCTTTTTTTTTTTTTTTTTTTTTAGAATTTCATAGCAATTTCTTATAAATTATTTTTTTTTATCTTCACACATATGTACATATTTCAAAATATTGAATTCAATTGTGTTAGAAATCAATTATTGGCATTGTCGATGATGTGGATATGCCTTTCATGATCTTTTTACGTGAATTAAAGAGAGTCTTGTATCCATATATGTTACTTACCAACATATTTGGTCAACATTAATTTGTTTAAAATCAATTACTAGCATGGTTAATACCTCGGGTTTCAGTAAACCTTTTAGGTGGATCAAGAATAGACCAACATGTGTTATTATCTGCTTTAACATGATTGTACATTCATATTCTCGATATTGTTTTCAATTATTCAATGGTAAGAGTTCTTATCAACCACAGATAGCAAAAGTTTGAAGGACAATAAATTAAAGACAATACCCAAAGCTGGCTATTTCATAAACCCCCACCCCTACTCTACCCTACCCTACCCTACCCCACTCTATATCTATATACACACACACACACCTATAATATGTTATTCTTTAGGGCTTTAAAGAGTATTAATAAATGGTTTGCTTTGATAGTGTGTCTCTTTCGATGTCCATTTGCGTATGGAATTTTACCATAATTTTTGTAGAATGTAAGGTGAAATGATTCTTTCTCAACATTAATTGACTTTAGTGGTCTATTGGTTAACACTCGTGATATGTTTGTCGTGTATGAATGGGAAATAAAGACATTCACAAACATCTGATAAAAGCCATAAATTATCTTTGGCTCATAATATTAATAATGAGGATTTTTCTTGGCCGGGTTTCGGATCATTTTACGCTCAAAATAGGATTATAATTTGACACTAATCTTATGATTCTAAGAAACATGGTCGTTGTTTCCACGACTAAGGTAAATGGTTTTAAGATTAGTACATTCCTCTCCTCCACTTCCCTTCCCCCTTCCCTCCCCGGAGAAATAAACAAGATCGTTCCACCAAACAATTTTAGATTGGCCACTTTTATATATATATACACACTAAAAAATCTAATACATTTAGAACATTTGCAACCATAACCGATCATATTGAGGTTAGTCTGCTTAAATTCTTATCATAATTAATATGTTCTCTTGATATTCGAATCTCATGATTTTCTCTTGACACTCGATAAAAATTGGGTCATGGTAGGTCTAAGGACGAAAAATATCATGTCAGCCCAAAATGGGATTGTGCTCGAGTGGTGAAGTTAATAGTTGTATACAAATCATGAAATGCTAGTGATTTTTGCTATGTTGCCTAAGATTTGTTAGGTGCCTTGTAAGGGTTTATCTAACAAGATGATGGTTGAACCATCATAATGTGAGGTAAAATTTTAAGATCTTGTAAATTTGGTTGCCGTAGGAATTGCTCAAATATGGGATTCAAGCAATATAGGTGGAGATATTTGTTCACATAAATCCCAAAACAATAGAGATAGACTCTAGATGCATTTATTTGTTAGGCAATTAGATTTTATTTATGCAAATAATAATAATAATAAATTAATTAATTAAAAACTCTTTGTTTGTCTTTCATTATATTTTCTTCTAATCTAAAAAGTTAAATTCAAACTTTAATTTTAATCACACATTTCATAGAGTCCAAAAATTTCAGAAACCTCTCCTCTTAAATGTAAAATTTCCATTCTCCCCTTCTCTCTGTATTTTCTATATCATCATATTTGTTTTCTTAGTTGTCTTTTTTCCTTGATTTTATTTTAGACAAAAATAAGTGATTTGATTTTAAAAATATATATATATATTTTTGCATCTTAAACATAATTTTGTGAATTTTGATTTTCTCAATAAAAAAAAATGGACAGATTAAAATTGATATGAAATATTTACTACAAAAACGAACTAAAAAGAAGCTATAAACTTTTGATGCCAATTTCTGCATATTTGAGACTCCTTAAAAAAATAAAAAATAAAAAATAAAATAAAATAAAATTGTTTATGCATTTTGATAGAAAAAATGTGGCTCATACAAGGGCTCAACGTTACCATAACATAGCATAAATGTCATAATATAGGTGTTAGATGGATCGAGTCAAGTGGCTCAGCTCACTATGCAAGTTGAATCGCACGGGTGTTAAATTTCATCAATTACAAGTTGGCAAGCAACTCGTGCAAATATTTTTCTGCTCGACTAATTAGTGGAGCGAGTCACTCGCCACTTCACACCCTTATGTAACAAGTATAAAATTAAAAATTAAAAAACATGCTATTGAATCTGGCAAAATAAAATATTTAATACTTTATTAATTAGCTTTTATTAAATTATTCTACATATTTGTTTATGTTGACTTCTTATTCATTTATCAATCATATTTGTAAAAGAAATCACTTTTATATTTTAAAATTATATAACAATATTTTTTTAATTAACGCGATCTTATCTAAATCAAAAGTATTAAAAAGTATATGTTAATAAAATAATAAGAAAGAAAAAAATAATAATTTCAAAATAGTACGGAGGATTAAAATGAAAAATAAATATTCACATTGAAAATCTGTCATCAAAAGTAAACATCATGACAGGTTTATGAAATATTTGAAAATAGTGGGAAGGTATTTGTAATTATCATAAATTTAATGAGAAGTTTATGTGCTCCTCCCGTTTGGTTGGTGGAGATTAAAATTAAATTTTTAATAAATTTTTATGAAATTTGATGAAATATATAGCTAAAAAATTTGAATTCATAAAATTTATAATTAAAATTAATTAATGATTTTAATTTTTACCAAACAGAGATGTAAGTTTATAAGAGAAGG